TGCATATTTCAAACAATGCGTAACCTGGCTAAACTGCATCCAGTTTTGAACAAAAAATTAAGCTGCTGTGCATCTGAGTCAGGAGCTAATTAGTAGAACAGCTATTATCAGTTAGTTGGGACCTGGGACAGAGGATGAGTCAGCTGATCTGCAGGTTGGACTGAGACTACAGAGAACTGAAGCTGGCGGAGACTTCAACGCTTCAGTGTAATCATTATCATCTTTACCAGGGACAAGATTCAAGATTCAAGACCTTCATTTGTCCCTGAGGGGTGATTGGTTTTGCCACAGTCGCAATAAATAAAAAAATCAACAACACATGGCTAGACACACACGATTAAAACCACACATAGCTGCGTAACCACACATTATAACAAACAAAAACAAAACATAAATAAACACATATATACAGGAGTGAAGAGGGTGAAGACAGGACGCACAAAATAAGAGTATTAGTAAAGATAAAAAAGGGGCATGGTTGGAGGCATGCTGTCCAGGAAATGTTCTTGAACATAATGCTTATATTTTTTAATCAGTCAGCATGATCATGTGGGAATTTGGCATGACCTGAGTTTAGTACAAAACAATTCCATGTGTGATGAACAGTAACGTTTCTGGGCTTTGCTGAAAACACTCTTGGCTTTAGCCCAGTGAGTGTTCCCCTGACACCACCAGAGAACTTGATCTCATGTTCTGTTACTTCTTAATGTGCTTATAAGGCTGTTGGGTTCACATTAGTCAGTATAGATTAACCATCTTACAAAGCAGAGAACAATAAGGGTTCGTGCTGAAGTATTTTTTTTTAATTTAAAACTATTCTATGTAAAATGCTTCAAAGCAACCTTGTGCGTAATATTTCAGTGAAGTGAGTGTTTTGGCCTGTGAGCACTTAGAACTAAGGAACAACACACTGAGAGCTTATAATACAAAATTCAAATTAAATATCGCCTAATGAACCTTTTACAGCCAGCCCCGACTCTTGTGTTATGTATCTGTATGCACAATTAGTAGGAGATGAAATTCTGAATTACGGTAAGTGGAAGTAGCTTATGTTCCTAACATTAGATCAACCAATTTTACACTCAAAGTTAGATGTTTTTTTGGCAAGAAACTGAGAGTACGATAGACAGACCGACTACTAGTGCAGTCCATACATCTCTGAAGATGCTGGATTGGAGTGCTGACTGAATGTGTGTGATTTGCTATGCAGGGAGTGTCCCAAGTCACACAGCATTTATTTTTCAGCTCCACCCCACAAGCTGATAGTTTTTTTTCTTACCCTCTCTCCTGAAGGCCTCGTTTTATCTCCACGGCTGTCCGAATGTGTGTGTGTGTGTGTGTGTGAGAGAGAGAGGGAGAGACGTACCTTTTCTTACACAGACCCTCATACATACCATGCTCACAGGGTCTGTCTTTTCAGTTGGGGGGTAGGCTCAGTTTTGAAAGATGATGCTCTGAGCTGTGTGTGTGTGCATGTGTGTGTGTGTGTCTTTCATATGAATATAAAGCTGAGCCAGGGATGTGGCTTGGCTGTCCCAAAGGCCCAAATACTCTCCAACACAGACATGCAGCCAAAATGCTGGGGGTCGTTAAGATCCTAAAGGCAGACATTTCCCCCTCTATCAATCTATCAGCATTCCCTTTTTTCTCTCAGGGAATGAGACAAAAGAGGGTGAGACAGAGAAAGAAGAAAGAAGGAAAGAAAACGCTGGCTACAAATTGTCTGGTGAATTAAAGGTGAAGGTTAAAGTTTCCCTCGTAAATTTTATGTGTGTGAGTGAGTGTGTGTGTGTGTGTGTGTGTGTGTGTGTGTGTGTGTGTGTGTGTGTGTGTGTGTGGGTGTGTGTGTGCCAGACCTTCATAGGAATATAAAACCACACCAGGGCTCATGGTTTGGCTGTCCCAAAAGTCCACCGATTCTCCCAAACACACACGCACATAAACACAAACACATAGCCCACATGTTGGGAGTTACAAAGGCAGACGTTTCCCCATCTATCAATCTGTCACTCTCCTTTTCTCTCTGGGTGAAAGACATTAACGAGAGGGGGACAGAAAAAGGAAGAAGGAGCGAAAGAGGGAGTGGGATATACATTGTCTGGTGAACATAGGGTCAGGGTTGCACCCATAAATTGCGTATTGTGTGTGTATGTGTGTGCGGACAGCTCGGGGGCAACAGGCCTTTATACAGTCGCTAACATGATGTTACACTCTGCTGGAGAGAACAGTGTTTTTTAAAATATCAGAGAACCGTGAGGGGAGTTTGTGTTCGACAAAGACAGAGAGACAGAGAGCTACAAATCGTTCAGCGAACAAGGTTCACGTTATCCAATAAAACCCGTGTTACAGCTGAAAAGAAATACACACTGACCTCGGGATGGTCTCCATTGCTTTGAACTAACAACTGGTATTAGAACGCTGAAGCACTTCAGCAAAAAAAAAAAAAAGCCAATTTACTATATATTTGGATTCACAGTCTGCCTAAAGAGATCAGGAAAAGAGCAATGTACTGATGGAAGTGTTTAGAGGTTGACTGGATTTCCTTTCAAGCTATTTTGTGTGTGAACTGCTGGGAACAGATTAAAGTTGCATGGCCCCTAATTCAGTTACATAATATCCACTGCATATAATAACACCAGGGCTCTTGACTGTTACCAAACGATCGCACATTATACATGAATATTTTTTTTGAGCATGCAGGTTAAAGTTTCACATGGTAGTTAAGGTGACAGCTGACTGATACATGGGTCTAACCTGAGTTGAATACTTAGCGGAAGGTCTGTATTACATACAGTAAGTCTGGTATATGAAGTGTATAGTGTATAAACTATGATACATGCTCTGTCTCACTCCCTCTTCATCTCCTTGCAGTTGTCGTACTCACACACCTGAAGTTACATCCAACTAACTACTACTACGGCACTGTCGGCAGAACATCAGTATAAGAGATTGTGATGTATATTACAACGTTAGGAATATCTGCTGCCTTATATTCCACAGACAGCACAGCTCCCTCACTGGAGCAGCAGCTCCAGTCTCTTGGCCCGTCTGTGGCACAGCAGCCTTCAGTGTTGATAGGCTATTACTTGTGATGTGTACTGAATCATATAGTGCTGTGGGCGGGACACTGAGCGAGGCTATAGAGTGATGACTGACTGCAGACAGAGAGAGTTGGCTGCATAAGAGCCAACGTAGTGCATTTTTCTATTAATTTACTTTTCAGCCACTGGATATAAAAAAAAAAAAAAACAAATAATGTCAAATAAAAATAACATATAAGGGTGCAACCAACTGTGAAAGTTGGTTTCACCAGTGCTACCAGTGGAAGAGGAAGCCTGAAACCCTGCACACCCCTCCATCTTGTGCCCCTTTGACCTCTTTTGCCAGCCATATTTTAGATGTCTAATCTTTGTATCTTGAGAAGCTTGTGATTTCTCTAGTAAAAGCTCTTTGTGAGTGCCTTTTTCCAGACCTTTAATGTAACAGACCACAACTTTTTTTGGCTGTGCTGCACCCTTTATATCATACAATAATAATCCAACCATAGCCATCAAGTATGAGAGGGCCCATATATTGTGGGAAAAATCCTATACACAGAGAATGCATAACAATTTGAAGTAAACATAAGGACGGAGAAGAAATATACACAATTTCATTCTCCGTATAGTTTCTTTATTATTAGCAACAGTATATTGGTTCAGCATCTATGTTGGCTGATTGCCACACACATGTTTTTAAATCTTTCTGCTGGTATCCCTCACATACCAAAACATCTAAGTTGTCAGTCCATTTCACTTTGTCACACAGCCAAGTTCAAATCAGCGCCCCCTTCCTTTAAATCTTTTATCCAGCCAAAATCTCTCATGAATAAAAAATAGGGTAAACAGTATTTCCTTTTCCTTTTAATGAAACAAGGGTCTGGCGAAGAGAGAGCTATCGTCTCTGTAAATTTGGGAGGATCTCCAATGGCACAGATGATGAAGTGGCAATGCAGTTTCAATTTTAATACTGGTGTCACTCCACATGATGCTCATAATACATCACACGGTGGCTGCGTCTCACAGTGACAGTGAAGGCTTGGAGTTGTCACATGAAATAAGATCCACGGTTTGAATACAGAGGACCACAGTAATGATCACTTAGACTCTTGATGAATCACTTGAATCTGACTTATTATTAGTCTGCTCTTAATACTCCTCTACAGTGATGTATTTCAACAAATTTGATGCAATTGTATTCACCCAATTTGTGCTTTATCATGGCACTTTCTGAATTCAAAGTAGGGTTTCATACAAGAAAATAATGTTTGTCAGAATGGAAAGGAAGAGATCAGGACTGGCCATCTTATTTATCTTATCCCATTATTAAAGCTTGACTGCATTCACTACACTACACATCTGTTCACAGAGGAGAAATCTACATGAACGAGTCAATCAGGCCTAAAACCCCACAGCATATCCAAACATTATCAGCCCATTAAATGGCTGTTATCAGCTGTCATGGGAAGCATAGAGTTGAGGTACTATGGCCGTACTGTATTTACATTTATTAAGTCTGCGTAGGGAGGAGGTTGGGTTGGATGAATGGGTAAGGAGACTGCTTTTCAAGTCCCATTTGAAACCAAAAGTATCACAACTTTATGTAACATATTTTTTAAAGGTTTTCCAATTTTGGTTTGCTGTTTTTTTTAGGTATATTACAGCAACGACCATTGGCTTCCAGTTTGAGTACTTGTTACACTTGCTAAGCCTTAATTTACTTGTGACTTGACACACAATGCACTTTCATCTTTGTCTTCTTAGGGTAAAGAGTTGTTCAGGATGTAGAGGTAAAGTGTGCTGCTTGAGGATACTTATGTTGGTGTTGACATTAAAACTCAGGTCCTCTCATTAAAGGGAAAGCCCCACCCAGCATCACTCAGTGACTCACATGACTCTGGTGACCACAGCTATAGCACAGACAGATGAAATGTAAAGTAAGATAGTAAGAAGTCAGCTTACCTTGTTTCCAGAGGCACATTGCTACCCAGCACCCAGCTGTCTTGCAGCGGGACGCTCTCGGGGGGCGTGGTCTGCAGCTCGGCTGGTGATTGGCCGGCCACAGGGGCCGGGCTTCCAGTAGGAGGGGTTAGCTGCCGCGTTGAATTCAGTGACTGGCCAGCGTGGTGCGTGGAGCCCAGGGATTGGTTGAGAGCGGTTATTGAGGGCTGCTGGCGGTGAGGGGGAGGTACCGGAGGCAGGACGGAGCCGTGGTGATTGGATGGTTGCTCTGTCAACAATAAAGAGGAAGCATGTTTAGAGGGATGCTTGTCTTTGTACTGCTTTATAACACTTAAATGTATCCTCATCCTGTACAGAACTGTGGGGTGAAAATATTGTTAAAAGAAAATTGCCAAAGAATGCCACCCAACACAGACAGGAGGCAATTCTTTGCTTGTCAACTCAGCCGTGCCTGCCTCTCACATTGTCAGGTTCGCAGTATTTTGCAGTTTTTTACTTTGAGTGTTGTTGCAGTGCTGTCTTTGATAACTGTGCTGTTTAGCATTTGTTTCAGGGAGAGGATGGGTTTGGTCCTTGAGGACCTGTCCCCTCCAATCATGAATAGACATCTGCATAGTTAACGGGAGAAACTCCATCCCTTCAGATTACATATCATCATCCAATCAAACACAATGTATCATCTCTAAGGAAACATAATTGTCGGCACCTCAACTGCAGAAAGAGAGAAACAGGCTATCACAAACTGTTCATCAAAGTAAATATGAATTCCTGTCAAGCAGTAATTGGCACAAATCTAACTATGGTGCCTATAGCTGTTCAACCTGTTGAGATGATACCGGTGATTCTTCTTAGAGTCAGACAGCCCCTCTAAATATATCAGCCCTGAGGCTACAGATGGACAGATTGAAGACGTTGAGGGAGATCAATGGCAGAATATTACTTTTTATGAGGACAGCCATGAAATTAACTGTTAAAAGTAAGAAAATGTTCTGACGTTCACATACATATAGCGTTCTGTGTGTGTACTGGGTAGACTTTGTGTGTGTGTCCCTCTGAAATTATTATGTTTGAGTGGTTGTGCGTAAAAGTGAATACATGTCTCTTAACAGACTGCAAACCTTTGCAGTTTTCCTCTAAATCCTGTTTAAATTTGCATTAGCAATGGCAAAGTTCACACACAGCGTCACCCAGTCCTTTCATTTCCTTTGTGTTATATTCCAGCTGAGTCCCGAGGTGCCATTCCCCGGAGCAAACGACCACTTGCAGAGTCAGGTGTTCAGTATAACGTCTTTCTCGTTTATTGTCTATGTCGGAAGAGATTTAAATCAAATGTATCATCGTGATGAAGAAATAATTCTCCTCTCTCTGCCGACAAACACTTGTTGAATATTGATGCCATGTTGTTCATTTTCAATATCATCTGAGACAAATGTATGAGAAGCTTGCAGCTGTCAAATTCAACATTTACTGACTGTGGGCTTCGATGTTAACCACTATGTAAATTTTCTCGCGGTGTATGGGCCGGTCAAGGCTGGTGAGAATTGTAACCCAACGCTGCGTTCAGCTCAGCCAGGATGAATACTGATCGGTGATTGGCCTTCACAAAACCCTGCTTCGTTTTTGTAAAAATATTTGTTCAAAGTTGACCTGGCTTCAACTTTTCCCTGCTGTTTTTTTTCCCAGTGCTTTTTGGCTCCTTTTCTGTCCTTAGGGTGCTCTGAAGGAAATGAATGGCAATGCTGGTATTTGATTTGCATAAAGAGCATCACGTCTCCATTTCCCAGCCCTGCTGTTATTCATTCTCCACTGCCCTCACTGGAGAAAACAGAAAGCAAAGAGAGAAAAGGAGGGATATGTGCAGGAGCAGTAGGGTGGGCGAGGGAGGGCTTTTTGTTTGTGGGGGGAAGTACTCACTTTCTCCCTCTCCCTCTATGTCTCTCTCACTCTTTCGCTTTCTCTCCATATGCTGTTTTGCCGGCTTAGTAATTGCTCCACTTATGCAAACCTTCAAGGCTAAATGCTGAAAGTCACACACACACACACACACACTAACACACACACGCAAAGTCAGGATTTCTGGATGAGTGTTCAGGCATCATTAACAAGCCACATCTGTGTGTCATCACTGCAAATGTAAATCTAAACACCTTTTATTCACTCAGATGGTGAAAAGCAACACACACACACACACACACACACACACACACACACACACACACACTACTCTGGGTTTGCCTAATAAAAAATCTCAATGAGAGGGAGGCAGGGATATTTATCACTTTGGCTGACAGACAAAGAGCTACCTTGGTGCAGCAGATTGATAAAGTCTAATATCAGAAAGAGTGTATTCTTTCCCCCCAAAAAATCAGGCAAACATTCAGGCAAAAGCGAAGGCATGTATGAACCAACTCATTTAACGAGTGTATGCTTAAGTTGTGATTTTTTTTTAAAGGTTTAGTGTGTAGGATGTAGGGGGATATAATGTCAGATATGGAATATAATATAATACATTTTCTTTAGTGTATAATCACCTGAAAATAAGAATCTTTGTGTTTTCGTTACCTTAGAATGAGCTGTTTATATTTACATGGGGAGTGGGTCCTTGTCTACGGACACAGGCATGTTGCACCGCCATGTTTCTTAAGTAGCTGCCCCCAAAACTGACAATCCAAACAGCTCTACATAGGGCCATATGTTTTTGCATCAGCCACCTTAGTTAGCAGCGCCTCTGCAATGACTTTTTAATGTGAAACTGCCTTACTCAGTGTTTTTACTGGTTGACATCATCAGGGTCATTTGCTTTGGAGAAGAGACCTCGGCAGGTAATTTGACTTTAGTAAAAACCTTCTGAATATCGACACAAACATGTTGACATCAATGCGAGACAGGTGTGTGTGTTTCCTCCGCTAAAATGGCTCCTGAATCTAAGCCTTTAAAATCAGAAACAAACACTTTTTCGTCTGATTAAGTCCATCTTACGACGTCGTTAGTGTATGCGCCTGGAAACCGCTTAGACGCAGCTTTTTTCCACTGACTGGAAGCAAGAGATCAGCGGCGTCTGTGTACCTGCCCGCCCGCAACGTGAGCCTGGAAGTTGGCTGAAAGATAAAATATCTAAATCTTACACATTAGCAGGTGCTAGGCTAACGGGCCGTCTCAGATATGCCAAACAGCTTTGGAGAAACACTGATGTGTAATGTGATATTGCTTTCTTCAGTATTTTTACCAGTTTCAATAACCAGGCCTATTTGTTTCGATGAGAAAAAGACCTCTGCAGATAATTTGGATCCCAGCAAAAAAAAAGACCTGAACACTGAAGGAATTCCAACCATGAAGTTGGTTGAAATCGGTAATCCTCACAGCTAGATGTCACAAAGTCCTCTTCAATATTCCACACTGTTCCTTTAAAACATTTTCATGCTCAGAAAACAGGAAAATGCAGTGACAAAAAAAGGAATTCACACCAATTGAATGACCTTTAGATACAAATGGCAGTATTCAAGTATTTTATCTAATCGCTTCGTCATCAGAGCTCCTCACAAAGCTGCTGAGAGCAGCTTTTACTGAGAAATAAGACCCACATTGCTAGGGATGAAGTTGTTTCACTCGGCCCACAGTGAAAGGTTGGTTTGAGAACAGTTTTTAAGAGTGTCCATGAACCATATTAATGTTAGGAAAGAAAACCTAATTAAAAACTGTACTAAATGCCCTATCTAACAGTGTAACAAAAGGGAAAAATTATTTGTCTGTGCTCCGTGATTCGGATCCACTCCAGAGTGTAACAGGTTCTTTCCTGACCCATGCAACACCCTTCCACCAAGAGGAGGAAGTTTTTTTCCAGCAGTTTTTTCATAATCCTGCTGAGAAACGGACAAACAAACCAAACTGAAAACGTCCTCCTTGGTGAAGGTAAAAATCAAATGGCCAGCATGCTGTGCGTTTCCATGTTGTACTGTAACTGAGATCCTGGTTTTGTGTGGATGTGAAGAGTCACAGCCTGCAGGGACAGCTACTGTGCCCCAGCAAGTGACATCCAACTGGGACTTGATGCCTCTCAAACAGCAGCCTCAAACAGCTTTCCAGAAAAATACAGGAGTCATCAGTTCAGCCTGGACACTGACAGTGACAAGTATTTTCTGGCTGCCACCAAAATCACCTGTGTGTTGACACTGTGACATTTTTTTCTGCTTGGTAAACATGTCATCGTCTTTTGATGACGCTGTTACCTGGACCTGCATCACATGTGTGACATCTACACACAGTCCAGCCCAGTGATGTCCACTAAGCCAGCGTTTTCTGTGTAATGTGAGAGTAAAGGGACTGCATTCATGTGTTTCTTCAGCTGACGACATTTCGCTTCATAAATTTCTCTTAATAAAACCTAGAGGTGTTAAGAAATAGAGCTGATACAGGCATTATTTTTAGGATTCCCCCCATATCAGCCAGTAAAGAGCTGCTCATAGCCTTGAGATGTTTTGTGAAAATGGCCCCAGAAGTGTTACATAAATCATTCATCCTCATTTGCCGAAAACATTGGCGTGGTATCTAAACAGTCTCTTGCCTGATTTGTATCCAAGATCTTCCTCTAGTGTCAAGTCAGCCATTTGTCACGGTTCCCACAGTCATTGCTCGTGTAATCTCTTTCATGGCTGTCAATTTAGTTATTGATAACATGCGCAGGTACAGTTACCACAGGAGCTCAAATAATTATCTGTCTGATACGTGGAGGAGAAATTGATCTGCAGTAAATTCTGACCTGCACATGTTGAGGATAAAGTCAATAAATCATTCATGGGCAATTAAAATGCAACATCAAGAGTGTCATGGTAACAGATTCATCTTTTCCAGTCGAAGATGAAAGTTATGTGACTTGCACTCAGGCAACCTGTGGTTCTTTGGTTCTACCCACTGAACCCACTAACATGGTTATTAAAATAGTTTCTTCCTCCGCTGCATCACTGCCAGGGAAGAAAATATTTGTGTGAGTGAAACTTTGGTCTGTGAGACAACTGGACTTCACTTGGTGTACATACAAACTGACTCTTAGTTTCATGCATTCATTTATTTTCGTAACTGCTTATCCTGTTAGGGGTCGTGGGGGGGCTGCAGCCTATCCCAGCTGACATTGGGTGAGAGGCAGGGTACACTCTGGACAAGTCACTGATATTGTTGCAGGGCTGACACATAGAGACAGACAACCATTCACGCTCACATTCACACCTACTGCTAATTTAGAGTCACCAATTTGCCTAACATGCATGTCGTTGG